ACAAACAAACATCCATAGAGGTGAAGCTGTTTCCCCCCCAAAAATAACATTACTTTATCTTTTATTTTTCTCCAGCAGTCTGGTGCATGATATCTCTCACCTCAGCAAGGGAAACAAGTATTGGTGCCAGCGACTTGACATATATCCATTATAGAGTGTACTGTTGCCGCTAATGGGATTTCTGAGGATGGAAATGGAAAGGAGGACAGGGAGAAACTGCGAGAGGAACAGAACGGGAGGAGAAAAAAGAAGGCTTCGCTGCAGTGGATGTACGGTTAGATAGCTGCCGCTCTTGAATTCTTTACTCTCAGTATCGCTCGTATTATATTCACAGCATTTTAACATATTCACTGCTGAAGTGATTTTAAAGCTGAAAGTATCAACAAAATGCAAGAGAGCAGAGAGAAACTATCCAGAAGCAGCTGCCTACCATGCTTTATCACATGAAAAGCAATCATATAGGAAGACGTGTCTTGGTGAGGGAAGTAGCTAAATTAATTTTAATAGGCATTTCACATGGGAGGCCCCCCCCCCCCCGCAAAGCCTTACATTGAAAAACTGCTTTTTAAAACATTATATCTTTAGCACAATAAGTGAGCTAACGTTTCGCTTACATTTAGACATTTAGTCTCAAAGCGCGGTAAATACACTTATATTGATGGCGAAGACTTCAGGACAAAAACTATCAAGGGGAAAGCAGATGAGACAAAGTTAGCGGCCATGATGGAATTACCCCATAACAGGAGGTCCAGTGAGACTGGGTTTTCTGAGTCCCAGTTCCTAGAGTGTGCCAAAGGCCACTGTAACTGCTCTGGAGGCACATGCAGAAAAAAACATCTGGGTAAAAAATGGCTTTTTTCCTTGGCTCAAAATGGGCCTTTGGGGTGTGACTATTTATTTAAGCATAAGTGGTTCACTTACAGGAACTTAAAGGAAAGAGGCTGTATTACCTTAATTAAAAATGTTTATTTAACTGGAAATAGAAAGAACAAGACTAAAGTGGCAGAACTGAGCTTCCTCTGAAGGGTGTCTGTGCTCAGTCTTAGAGATGGGATGAGGAGCCTAGTCATTAGCAACAGGCTCAGAGCAGAGTCGCTGCTCCTTTGCATTGAAAGGAACCAGTCGGGGTGGTTCAGGTGATGGAGACTCGTGGGCAGACCCTGGAGAGTTAATGTCTCACAGCTGGCTCGGAAACATCTCTCCTCCTTGGGCGAGCTGAAATCTTTGCTTAGACAGCTGCCACCATGACCTGGACTCAAATGAGCAGTGGAAAATTGGATGGCTGGATGTTTGAGTAAATAGAAGCCCAAAATGTTCAGTATGCAGGATTAACCCTCATCTCTCAACTCAGTCTGAATTTAGTCTCTGCAGAATAAAAGTTCTGACCAGGATATGAACTCAAATGCAGGTAGATCATACCCGCTTTCCTTTTATTTGTTCTTAAAATCTTAATATCCCAAGACAGCTGGCCAACCACGCCACTATTTTTTTTAAAAACAAAGATAAGGCTCTCCACTCAGCCTGTGTGCTTTCACTAATTATATTTGTCTTTTATTTTAGTCTCTGAGCCGCTGCTGTATAAATGGAATAGATTTTAATTTCTGTGAAATTTTGTTTTAATTTATTTGTTTGTCTCAAGCGCTCGCTGCATCATTTTAAATTACATTCTTCCTTTTTACTGCCTCCTGCTTAATTTATCTGTTTTCTTCATCCACATGGAACAACAAATGACACCAGAAATGCTTCAAGTCCCAGACAAAAAAATGTAAGTTTGAGAGTGAAAGCGTAGCAAATGTCATACCACTTTATTTGGGTGAAATAAAGAAGAGATTTTGTAATAAGTTTCAGTTATTTCTTTCAGTGACCACTTACAAAATTATATATGTTTTTTTTTACCAGATTTAGCTGCTAGCTAATTTGTCAATTATGGAAAAATGAGCCGCATCTGCCTCAATATCTGACCTTACTGAGCTTTTTTCTGATTAGATTTTGGCTTTAGTCACTAGTTTTAAATGTTATTAAGTGGAACATCATATTCTTTGTTTAAATTATGCTCTGATTTAGAGTAAAACATAACTGATTAAGTCCCTAGATAGATTAAACTGCTATCCTTGTTTTTTAGTCATATCCACCCCCAAAAAACAAAAAACTACACATGCCTTTACAAGTTGTCTGTGAAGGTTCTCAGTCATCCAGGTCATCACAGTCCAAGGAGCTCATCCGAGAAGCTACTTCAGTTCTACGGTCAAATGGTGGAGAATCCCAGATTTGACCTCAGGAAATCACATGATAGGGGTGTGGCTATGTTTCACAATGAGCTCACCTGAAACCCTGGCTGATTGTGACCCATACCTGTTTTCACACCTTGGCTCGTGTGATTAGGTAGAGGATCATTAGGGAGTCCATTGTCCCTCTTGGGGGACACTTCCACAGGGCTTAAATCAGGGACTCGCCACCATTTGACCCTAGAACTGAAGAAGCTTCTCGGATGAGAGGTGAAACGTCTTCAAGCCATTTAAAGAAGTCCAGACACTTTTCTTTCGAAGCTCCTTAGAATGCCTTTTCAAGCTGACCAATAAAGTTATTGTCACTATTTCCATCTTTTACATACAGTTTAGAATAAAATTTGACTTCTCCAGTCTTTACTTTCTCAGACACCCCCTATTTGTTTACTGGGACCTTGTTCTGGACCGACATGAGAACAAAGCATACATAAAAACAAAACACAAAATACAGAAGGGAAGAATATAAAACCACTGTTCTGCTCTATTAGTAGTCTGCACAGCAACAAAATCCTTGTGTGAATGGTGAATTGTGTCCTCAAAAATACTGCATGTTGCGTGGAAGAAAAGAGTCCTTATCTCTTTCTATTTCAAAAGATACGGAAATTCATATCAGACACCCTGGCTTACAACCATCACATGTCTTGAAAAGAGGACCTCATACACAAGCAACAAACAAGCAATTTAGAGAGCGGACCTGGGGAATTTCATGTGACCGTGCACAGCCCTACTTACTGGCACACTGACACCACTGCTCTTACGGCACAAACATTTCCACCTCGGTCTCAAAGTTTCCTCTGCTGAGCTGTGCCCATTCAAGGGGACCTTTAATGGACTTGTGCCGGCTTTCTGTCAGCGAGGTTAACTGAGTCAGCAACTGCTCAACTTGAGCCAGCAATACTATCTTGGCTTAAGCAATGATTCACACATGCCTAACAGCAGCCAGCATCACATTGCCAGTGGATTCACTCATTCACAACTAAGCACATTATTCAGAACATGACTCACTAATTGATAGAATCCTCAGTAGGCGTTGCTGCTTTTCCTTCAAGTTTATGCTCATCTATATAAATTTGTCATCATAGGATAAAACACGTTGCTCTGGCCAAAGCTAATTTTACATATTCTGATAAAATGTGCATGTGAAGAACAATTTTACAGACTCAACATGCAGTTTAATTCATCATTAAATCAGACTGCAGTGTTTTCATTCATATGATACATAAAAAAAAATGTGTGTATTTCAAGTGAAACCACTGGCCCAGGGCGTTAAATAGCTGATTATTGCAGGAGAATGATTTTTCACTGCTTCCATTGAGAGAGTTAATATGGCATTTTTAGACCTTGCATGTGCGCAGGTCTATAATTCACGTTCATTCAGTGGACTGGTATCCTCACAAATAGCAGTGCACGCTCTAAGCACCAATACTGGTCTCCACATCATGGCTAATGAAGTGCCTGACCTTTTCCAAATGAAGACACCCACTCAGCAGCTTAAACACCAAACGATAATCCCAGTTATGTCTGATAATTATGCCAAGCACTTTTAGTTTTCAGTCAGTGGAAGGGAATACACTGGACATGATGTATATAACATGATGCCAAAGCTGAAAGAGGAGCGTTTTTAATGCAGCATTTATGCGTCGGAAACTAGCCCTCGATGACCAGAATCATTCAAATGAATAGCTATTTCTATCTATTCGCTGTCAGTCAACATGACTGTTAGTCCGGCCATTCTCCTTTGAGCTCCTCTGAGCTCAGACACACGGCTGCTTCTGAGGATAGAGACGTCACTCAAATCTCACGTTTAATGTGGATTCTCTGTAACGTCAGCATGCTAACGTGTTCACAATGACAACTTGCTGAGGCAGATACTTTTTATCACAGTATGGCTAACAAGCAGTGTAGCTATACAGCACAGTGAGGTTGATGTGAATAGGTTTAGTACTGTTACAGTCCCTCAACGTAGTATTAAATGATTCTCTTAAAGCTACAGAAAGTACTCCTAATAACATTTAACAGAAAAAAAAGTGTTAAAAAAAGGAAACGGCCATCAAGATGATGTGTGATTCAGTGATTTCATTTTCTGCTTTGTTGAGCATGCCTCGTAGCAACAGCATTACAGTAACTACCTATGACAATTTGGCCAATGCATTCTATGGCTTTTGACATTTATTTAAACATTACGTAACGAAAGGTCAAAGCTGTCGAGATTTCTTTTGCTTCTTGTTAAACACACCTAATTTTTAATAAACTGTAATTTAAAAAAGGCCTTGTGGCCAAATGCTGTGTTCATTTTCTTGAGAGATGGTGCCGTGCTTGTGATGAAATCATTTTTTTGCGCTTCTCACATTTTCATTACGCAGTTTTTGTAACTCCTTTGAAATAAAAGATCCGCTGGTAATTACTGCATCCCAGCTACTGGATGCAGATTAAAATATTGATGAGAGTAATAAGAAAACATGAAATCTATGCTGCTGCATATAAAACGTTAAAATTCATGTGGAATTGCATTTTCAGCTTTATATTTGCTGTTGCTGAATCTCATATGCATGCTTACAGATAGCCGTGTAACCTCTTGAATATTTTAAATCCAAACACGGCTGCTTGCGCATGTGTTCAGTGTGCTGGTATCAGAACTCCTCTGCATCCATATCCACGCGTGTATGGGTTTGTGTTTGTGTTTGTGTGTAGGCACCATAAGGTAAATGTACATACCAGCAGGACAGTCGCCTTCTGACACAATAAGCACTTCAGACTGCTGCTTGCAGGCATCCCTGCGCAGGAAGCACTCGTTCTGGTAGTTCTTATTGTTGGAGCCACACACAGGCACATAGTCATTGTTGCACTGCAGAGAGGAGAGAAGAAAACAGGTAAGAAAAGGAGCATGTAAAAGAGACAAGGTTAAACTAAAGTGATATAGTGAGTCTGTGGCCTCAAGTAAACACTTGAGCCTTCAGAATTCTGCAGGGAAGCCACTGCCTTCAATTTCCAATTTGAATACGCTTCAATCTCAGCACTGAAAAGAATGACATGTATGGAAACACCACCAAATACATAACCCGCTTGGCAGAGCAATAAAATACCAGAACTTTAAAGCAACAGCTGATGCCTACATCGCTCACATTGCACATTTATGGAGCGACCAACAACACTGAGCAGACCACTGCTGAACAGCACAAACAGGAAAAAAGATCTGCTTTTAAATCCAATACTTCAAAAAGCCTGATGATCAAGTTGGAATACTTTTCTTTAATTCCAGCGTTCTCCTTTGTTAAACTCACTAAGTTCTTCAGTATTTCGGTTAAGGGGTTTTGGCGCACCTATATACTGAAAGCTTCTTGTACAAGGACAAACCATAGCAGGTTCATTGTTAGCTAAGAAATGAAATTGAGATTTCCATGAAAACAGTGCAAATCTCCACTTTGTTCTCACCCAACGTGGTACAGTCAGATAATATTATAAGAATCTTCTGCTTCCTGTTCGAAATTATAAGCAGATTACAAATTGGCCACACCAGCTTGAGAAACTAGCCATTGTTACCAATGTCAAGTTAAAGAGACAGTGGAGTACGCTCTGACGTATGTAAGGATACATGAATAAAAATGAATGGTTATCCAGGTTGTTGAAAGAAGCTGGCGTATTTAAAAGAGTGTGACTCAATTGGAAAAAAACAGCATTCATTGTTATTACTTGAAGAAAGTGAAAAAATTGAGAAAACGTCAAACAGCACAGAACTAGTGCCCTCAAGAGTTTAAGTAATAGAAACATCTTGACATCCCCTGCTCCTCAACACTGGTTTTCTGTCAGTGTGGCCATTTTTCAGCAGGGCTGTTCTCCAAAACATCCACATCTGCTTAAGCCGAGTAGCAAAGTGCGGCGTCAGATGCACGTAAGATAAACTCAAGTGAGATGGGTGGAAGGAAGAAAAAACCCTGCCCAGAAGAACTCAGCAGGGGTGAATTCATAGTATGTACAGCATGTTAACCAGCTAAACTGCTTAGGATAGAGTGTATTCACAAAGCTAAAAAAAACCTCATTTTCAGTGTAACATTTCTATACTCCTTCACCATTGCTAGAATTACGATTAAGCACCAGAAACCTAACCATGCAGTACCCTTTTTAAGGGAAATTAACCCCAATTAACCTTAAATATATCTGCCTCACATTAGCGAGATCATACGGTGTTTGAAGTTCTTTAAGACTGCCTGATGAAGATATAACAGTGCTGATTCTAACCGTGATACCTGAAAAAATTTAAGTTGGCACATTATAGCGGATTATAGGATATTACAGTACAAGCACCAGTCTAGTCACAGCTACAGTCACATGTTCCAGTTTACTGTGACTCACTTCCCTTTCATTAACTACTAAACTGCTCTCACTTCACGGGTGACTAAAGAAAGGTAACGTCATTCACTTTCCTGTTGCCGTGGTGACTTCATTCGCTCACTTTGAGACAACACAAACCCCAAAGTCAGCTGAGATCCTCACACTCATGCTTTTTTATATAAAAGTTAATATGCTGCACAGTCCTTAATGTCCTTTTTATACTTTTTACTCTGATTTGAATGAGCCATCTGTGGCTGCCACCAACACCACCTTGCACCTACCCCATTCACCCCCCTGCATTAAACCTCAAGATTAACAAAACATGGTAACAAATAAAGCTAAGAATGACTTTGGCTCGTTGACTAGCTTTTGTATTATTAGGTATTCTTTCTGCCATGATCATCGTCTATTGAAAATCTGAAACTGCCCTTGAATCAAAGCATATTATGCTTTGTTCACACTTTGTCCAACAGGAAAAAATGCAAATGGTAATTTACCAGCGTAGAAAAGGAGTAGGTGAGCTAAAATCTTATCACACATCGCACATCTGGCAGATTGTCATTCTACAAACTAATTCAAAAATCGGTCAAACTTCAGTCCAGCGTAGGTGTTAAAAAACAAGAAGCAAAAAGAAAGAATAGCTTGGCACGTCCCCTTCTGAATTGTGTTTAATTATGAGTGGATGCACACATCAAATCAGTACAAGTCTAAAAACAACTAGCACCATGGATTTTGTTAATAGATTATATTCACACTGCAGACTTCTGAAAAGCTGCACACCTCTTGTTGCTCCACTGGAGCAGTAGGAGGTTAAGTGACTTGCTCAAGGGCACTCAGCAAAATAGCTACTACGGTACATGAGAACATTACTCATTCATTTTCCTCACATGGTTTGTTGGCTATGGAGTAAGTCAAGATTTTTCAGATGACTGATGGCACTGGAGGGTCGAGTCTTAGTTTTCATTTTTTTGGCTGTAGAGGAGAGATATGCATTTGATTTGAAATCGATTCACTGCTGCCGCACTGTAGGAATAACAAACGTGATTATTCAATTGAGAAATATTACCCACTATTCCCTGGGAAGAAGGAACAGCTATCAGAAGGTCCAGAGAAATTGTTGCTCGGTAGTCACAGCCCGTAACCTGATTAAATATAAAAGTGCTGAAAAATGGGGAACGTGTGAAAATGTGTTCCTGCTGGGTGTGACATCGCAAGGACAAGAGGCTCACTGGATATTCCCCACAGGGATGAAGCTAAGGAGCTCACGGCTCTTTGTCTCCACTTCTTTTTTTTTTACTCTAAGTCTCTAATGGATTGCTCTGAAATCTGTTTTCTCATAGCTAAATCATCTCTGTGCCCTCACGGATCGCTGCATGGTTTTCACAAATGGACATATTGTAGACGCAGACAGGCATTAACAACATATTCAAGTACGTCTGTGTTTATGGTCACATGTCAAGCCAACTTTGTAAAAGCTTAGTGTTGGAGAAAAATAATATTTTTATCCTCTTTCTTCCTTCCAGTAAAAAAACCCCATTTAGTCTAACATTGGTTGAAACAAGACACTTGAAGCTCTGACTTTTTCACTCGTTCCTCTTCACACCTGTCCATTAGCACAATATTTTTCCGCTGCTAGTTACAGTGGTTCGCTTTAGCAGGTGGTTAACAAAAAAGGGGTCAACAGGAAGATGTCGTGGTGTGCTAAGCTGCCAGCTTTTGACACTTGTTATATGCTCCATTGCATATTCTAATTTTTAGAAGGAGTAGGTCTTCGAGATCTGGAAAACAGCAAACCGCAGGCAAGAAAAAGCCATATTTTTCCACTTTTCCATATCCAGTTGTTACAGGGCAGGAGACAGGGTCCACCCTGGATAGGTCAACAAGCCATCGCAGGGCTAACACATGGAGACCGACAACTATTTACAGCCAATTTAACTAACTTGCATGTTTTTGGACTGCAGACACTCTGGGACAACATACAAACTACATATTGAATTGCTCGGCCTGGATACAAAACTAGCTAGTGCTACTGCTGACTAGCTATGTTAGCTAGGTGCATCCCTAGATTGGGGCAACTGTGGCTCAAGGAGCAGAGTACTCTACTAGTTGGAAGTTTGGTGGTTTCTTTCAGCCCACATACTGAAGTGAAAGAAAACCCCAAATTCCTGCTGATGGAACTATTGTGTGAGTGTGGCAGAATAAGAGAATAGTATAAATGTATATTTGTGAATGGGTTAATGTGACTAGCATTTAAAATGTCTCTGAATGTTCAGTTAGAGGAGAAAAGTGTCATATAAGTACCACATCATTTACCATGTGTGCATCATCTGAGTGCATACTTCTTGGATAGTCTTTCAGTACAATAAATTATGTGTCATTATACATCAGATCATTACATTGGAAATGATTCAAAACAACACAAATATAAATAAAAAGGCCCTGCTAGCAGGTTAAGCATCAAAGACTGATCGAAAACAGGCATTCCTTTAGAAAACTATAACTCTGAACCTTATAGTGTTTTTTTTTTGCATGAGGTTACATGATGTTTAGTTCTCCTGTAAAGTTGAGATACTTGTGAGTTAACACAAGCATCTCACTTCTGAAGCCAGCCTCAAGTGGCCATTTCTGGAAATGCGACTGGATTAATTTTCCTCTTTATTGCTTAGTACAGCATCAGTAGAACGAGGTCTGAACATTGTAAGAACTTGTGCTTTATTATATTTGGCGCACAACAGGACACTCTTCATGTCGCCTGTGTACTCAACTAGAGAGAAACTCCCATTAGCTTAGGTAAGGGGCGGTGATTATGCTCACTGGGAATTCCCCAGACAATTGCCTCCATGGATTTTATGCAGACGTTGTACTAAGAAACTGGCACAAGAGTAGAGTAAAGTAGAGTGTGAGATCTGATTTAGTTGATTCTCTCTACCTTGCAGTGTTTGGAGCTTTAACTTAACTTAGCATTTTCGACACCCTTCAGCTTCATCTGACCCACCCGGGCAAATATTAACCAATCAAACCTGCATTCTAGTAGCTACAGGCTAAGATGATGTTCACACTTAATCAGGCATGTGAGTTGGTTGAAAATGGCTGCCAAAGTGAATTGATTTTGAAATACCATAATCGACTCTTAAAACAGTATGAACCAGAAAAAGTGACCTTGTTCAAAAGCTTTTAGACTTTAGACTAACAACATTAGTGGCCTCTGTACTGAAAACATGCTAAAGATGAGCAGAGAGAGCACCCAGGAGAGAAACTTGGCTGCCCCACGCTTTACCACATGTATGAGTTTAGCTGTTTGGGGACAAAGCAGAAAGGATTCAGCGAGTCTGTTATTTAGGGGGCTTAATTGTGAAAGGCCTGAAAGGACCAGAAAAACAGCACGAGGGCATAAACTGCATTTCAGATTAAGCTAACTAAGTGTGAAGGACAATTGATACACACATACCCATCTGATACCCACAAGGAAAAGAGCAAAAAATAACCATCCATTCAGGAAACCAGAAGGATGATAAT